CCTTGATGGGCAAAAATTGCTTGGAAGTCAAGTGACTTTCACAGATAAATTTCAGTGTCCTCTGATGACCCATAACTTGCGAGAACCATAACTTGAGTTCTATAAATCTCCTTGAAGACTTCTAGTACTCAAATTAAAGCTATTAAGATGTTCTAAAAGTCTCATGTCGACCAAGAATTCATTTGAAACTTGCATTTTGACTTATCTGGCTTGGAAGTTAGGCCTAAACTAGGGTTTTTACACTGAAACCCTAATTCAACAACTCCTCTTCTTCTTGATTTCTCTGTGATTTCTCCTTGGCACGACACCACACATGTATACACATATCAATTCATGAATCCCACATCCTTCAATTAAGCCTTGATACCCTTCAATCACTCAGTTGACCTAGGGTTGACCCAGATGAAACCCTAGTTGACTGCACTTCAACTCTGGCTCTTGTACTTGAATCAATGACTTGTCTTATCTTCAAAATGACCCTCTAGGTCTTCCATGATCTTTATGCACATTCCTTACCCACAATTCCATGCTCATACTCCATTGATGAATCTCAATACTCCTCAATCTAGGAGAGAAATCCACTGGTTGACCCTCAAACTTTTCAAAGCTTCAACTCATTCCTTGATTACTTGGATGGTCTTGAACTTGAATAAAACCCCTTGATGGGCCTCTTTCTGATGAAAATGGCACTTGATCCCTTGTTATATGCCTTGTTATGCTATGTTATGCAAATGATTAGACTATGTACATGACTTAGTATGCAAATGCCAATGCAATTGAAACATAAACCAAGTGAAATAGGTTGAGCAAATTTTAGGGTGCAACAACACACATTCAACAACAACTAGAAAAAAACAAGAACAACAACAATGGAAAATGAAGTTTACTATAGATGCATGGGAAAAAAGTTTTACGTACTGTAAACGTGATGACTAATAAAACTTATTGTATACTTTATCTAAACTGACTGTTTAGAGAAGGAATAACTTACAACAACACTTGATTAACAATTTGAGGTGTTCAAATATAATATAACACAGTTTAAAACAAAAGATTCTTAAGCTATACAAGAATAAGAACTCTTGACAGATTAGCTTATCTTAAGCTTTTATTAATTGTGTGTAGTGCCTGTATATTTCTATTGTAGTTGCGACATTATTCTCTTATCTGTTATTTATTTCTTCTACTTCTTTTATAACGGAAGAAATAGAGTCGTTGAAGCATCCTCAACGGCTATATTCAGATCAAATCTTCTAATACATCTTCTTTTCCAATAAAGCAGGTGTTGGAACTCGTAGTCAAGGAATTATCCACCGAACAAGGCCTTTATCCAAAGAACTCTTCAGTGAAACAAGTACAACACAATATTTTGAAGATAATATGAACTACTCTCGAGTCACGTGATTCCTGAACTTGAGTTGACATTACTCGATTTCAGAGGTAGGGTTTAACACATTTCTGATTCTAAAATGTACTAATGATATTTTTTTATCAGACTCTTTCACAAGTACTCGACCAAAACCAAACTAAGACTTCTTCCGTGACATAACCTATTTCATCAAGTAAATATAATTTTGTACACAAAAGCTACCTAGTTAAAAATCCTAATTGTTTTTTAAATACTTTGTTATCATCAAGATCTTAGAGGATACATGGTATGAACCAAATTTGTCTCAACAGTCACCAACGACGATGTTGGCATAAGTTAAGCCTAGAGCCTCCTTACTCATTTTGTTTCAATTATATCTTATCATATTGTAATTTAATGACCAGACTATGTGATGTTGTCATGGCTTTTCATGTATCTCTAGTAAAAATAGTGTGGCCAAAATATGCTCTTCCGCAACATGTCATTTTGATTTTAAATCTTTAATTAATTTTACATTTTGGGCAATCTCGTATTATTTATATTTGGAATATTGTAAGAATGAAATTTTAGACGAGTTTGGTCCTTAATAAGATAAAAGGTCGATGTCTTTAATTTAAAGAGTGAAATGGACCAATTAATTACCTTGATAATCAATTCAATAATTCTGATTTATAGAATATTAAAGGGGGAATACTCCACCCACCTTATCGTGTGACCCACACCATTGAAAATTCAAAAATGCCCCTCATGTATCCTAAGATGCATCTTCGGACGCACCTAAAATCACACCAACAAAGACGTTACAAGTGAGACACCCCTATTTTTCCTAAAAACATTGTGCGGAGAGGCACATCCGGAATCTCCATTGTACCATCATTCAACATGAAAAAAATTGTTTAACATATACTACAGTGTTCCAAACTGCAACCCTGATCATCCCACGAGTGATAATAGTTAACAATTTCATGCAGGGATTTATGAATCGATCAATTTAGCAACTGATTACTTTTTTTCTTCTTAATAGAGGTGATGTGAGACGATTCAAAAGTATAACAAAGCTATAATAATTGGTAAATCATAAACCACCAAATGTTCTTACAAATGATCCAATACTTTCCACTACCTTATGGAATGGTAAGTTTGTAATGTTATTAATAAGCTACTTCTATTATTCACAATGATACAGTTATTTTTGTAAGGTTTAATACTCTTTTTAATTCTGTATCTTAACCTTGAGATTCATTTTAGTCACTTAACTTAAAAAAAGTTCATATTGGTCTCTTAACTCTTCATAACGTATCATATTAGTCCTTTTTGTCTAATTAGCGATGAATTTAACGACTGATTTTTTAGTTTTTCCGTCGCTAATTAGACAAAAAGGATTAACATGTACTTTTTGAAGAGTTAAGAGACAAATATGAACATTTTTTAAGTTAAGTAACAAAAATGAATCTCGAGATTAAAATACGAGACTAAAAATGATATTAAGCCTTTTTGGTAATTAATTCTCACTTGATTTACCAGGCCAGTAACACCTTATAAGCTCCTAAATACGTTGTGACACAAAACATGGTACAATGGAGATTTTGGATGTGTATCTCTAGATTTTGGAGATGCATTTTCAGATGAATTTTTTTGGAGCAAAATAGAGGTGTTTCACTTGTAAAGTGCTAAAATGTGTGACTAAAAAGGTGCGTTCATATATGCATCTCTGGACGGCAGGAAAAATAATGGCTTTTTCATGGTGGCGGAGGAGAACACAAAAGGGTGGAAAGAGTATTCCCCTATTAAAGTCATGCAAAAAGAAAATTATAGGAGTGTAATCGGTTCAATTTGAACCAGTTTTTGGTCAAAAAATTGTTTGAATCAATGAATATATATAATCGATTTTGATTTAGTTTGAATTGTCGGTTTAATTGATTTTTTCTAATCCACTTACACCCTTAAAAAATTGCATATAGAATGAGACACTTATTGATAAGTGTTAGAATATATTGTTTATTATTTACCCCTACCTATAATAATTAATAACCATTACATATAAATGTTCTATTATAATGAAATATGATTTAGGTTGGTTGAACTGTGATTAATTTGATTAAACAGAGAAGTTAACTTAAAATCTGTAAAAATAAGCATGAGAATGGATAATGTGTGAAATGCAATTTTGCAAAAGTCCTTTTAAGTCTCATATTTATGAATAACACATTCGTTTTATCGAATTGTGTGGATGTTGGTTTTTTAGAATATGTGCTAAAGGTACTCAATTTTGTAAGAGAGAGAACATGCCCACTCAAAATCACCACACACAACTTACGCGTGACAACATATTGAAGTATAAATAATTTTTACTTTTTCCAAACTCAAATTAAATCTCTAATAAATATACGTTCTTTGCCCTAATTTATGTTGAGAATAAAAATGAATCTAAAATCCGTCCCAAACAAATTCAAATATCTTCACCCCACTCCCACCTCTCCAATGGTTACTTTTCAATTTGAATTTTTAGAAGTAATCCATCTAATTGTGAGAAATATTGATCAAGCTTGCGATTGTTTTTTCACTCATAACAATTTGAATCATATAGTTTATTAGAGATGTGATGATTAATAATTTATCTAGTACAATTTTAAAAGTGTCACAAAATATTTTTAAAAAAATGAACTAGTATACGATTCGATTCAATAATTTTTTTTGTGATATATTTTCAAAACTATAATACAAAATATGCATTTATTTATCATTATTAAAAACAAAAATCTTTTAAAAAAATAGAATAAATTTTCTCTCTTTTCTCTAATCTCGTCGAAATCATATTTCTGTTATCACTACTTTGCAACATTCAGGAGTTTAACATCCTTGTAATCGATGAATCAAGATTAAACAATTTGAATATAATAGTTTTCAATTTGCTTTAAAATAAAAATATTGAAATTAAAATTTTAGCCATTCAATTTTAATCGTAAATACAGTAAATATTGAATGTGAGTAAAATTGGTCTAGTCTCGTCCAAACGGATTAAAGAAGGTGGCAATAAAAGGTGTTTGAAGCCATGTGATAACCATTAACCATTACAAGTACAATCTTCAAAATTCCACAAAAGGAAGATATTTGTAGACCAATGCCCAAAAACAAACAAAAACTATTGACTTACACACATTTTCCTTTCTTTCTCTCTCTTTTTTTGCCTTCAAAGTTGGTTTAGTTTGACCCATCAACTGCAACACATTTATTAAAAGAGGACCATTGTCACAAGCTATGCGTCCTCTTAACGACACTCACACAATTTATTCATTCAACTCATTTTTAAGTTACTTTTTTTATTCATTTTTATGAGGCAAAGATTTGTGGTTTCTTTCACAACAACGAAAGGTGCAAGTGGATGATGGTGAGACTCAGAGAGGTTACCCTTTACAAACTATTTTTAAAATTTGTCATTTTCTAATCACCCATTTCTTTCTTTCTCTTTCTTTTGCAGTTTCGGTTGTAAAAATTGAAGCTTTTCTCGTCTAGATAATGGATCGGGTTTTGAGTTTTCAAGGTTAGATTCGAAAGGGGTTCAGTTGATCTGCGTCAAGATGGTTAATTTGCTTTGAGAAATACGTTTCTTTTACGAGATTTGGGTTTTGAGATGAACCAGTTAGTTGAAAGCTCTGCTAATTCTCAAAGGGTCTCTAGAGTTCAAGCTCCACTGGTAATTTCAGTTGATTCAAGTCGCATTTTTTCTGTTTTGCTTTACATGTCCATGGTTTTTGAGACACCTATTGTTTAATTTTTTGGTGTAGTTGCTTATTTGTGTCTGTGTCCGTTTATGAAGATTCAATTTTGTTATAAGCTAAAACCTAACTTGAATTTAGGTTTTGATTTCAGTTATATGGGCGAAATCCCTCTTTTATTTTTTAGGGTTCTTTGTTTGGGATGAATCAAAATTTTGGTATTGCTTATGAATCAATCATTATTCACTTGTTGTATACTTTATAGAGTGTGAGGATATGAAGTAGAGTACGTATGGGCATATGTTTTTACTCTTTGTTCTTGTTCACTTGTGTTTGGTTTGGGTGTTTTAGATAATGTTTTTATCTAGTTAAACTAAATTGTTTGCATAAGCATCAATCATGCTTCATTCGTCTTGCATAGAATGTTTATCACGAGCATTAATGAATGGCAGTAATTGTCAAAGATTAACAATATTTGAATTATTTATACACCAGTAAGGTAGATGAACATGGAACCTGGATCCTTTACCTCCTACTATATTGTTCAGCCGCTTGTAGACTGTTAGATTACGAGGCATGTCTCGTAATCTAACCGTCTACAGTCTGGTGCATGCTAAAACCGGCTGGAAAGGATCCAAGTAGGACAGAATGCCCACCTTACACAATGTATGCTGTTTTGCCTTCGCCAGATAAATATCAGCCAAACTCTCATTGATGCATCAAATGTGTTGGTAAGCTGTGTCACTTTTCCTACCTGCCTTTCCTTTTTCTGATATCCTCACCAGTCACCACTCTTTGAATTGACTACCTACCTAGCCCTCAGCCTAAACATCCATTGCTGCATTCTATGGGTCACTTGTCATTTTTCACTCTGAAATGTCAAATCACATTGATGTTGATTGGGTTGTATCTGGTCACGTATTGTCAGTTTGCATCTCTTAGCACTGTCCTAAATTTTGAACTGTAATAATGTTAACTATGTCTCCACCTTTCGGTTTAAGTGTGTCTTAAACTATCATATGAGCTCTCAAGCTGTTGTGCTTCTCCATAAATCTGAGTCTTGATGGAAAATTCCAGTGTATCGGCTTGTTTTGGGAAGTTATTTGTATGGTACTTCATTTTTTTTCTCTTGCAGAAAACACCAATGCCTAGACTTTTAAATTCTTTAGATACCTATTTGGTACTTTGATACTTTCAACATATACTAACATGTAAAGTTTCACAGGTGGACTCCGTGTCATGCTACTGTAAAGTAGATTCAGGCCTGAAAACAGTAGCCGGGGCAAGGAAATTTGTTCCAGGATCGAAGATATGTATCCAACCTGACATAAACCCGAATGCACATAGGAACAAAAACTTGCGTAGAGAGAAGACCAGAGTTCAACCTCCTCTGCTACCTGGTCTTCCCGATGATCTTGCTATTGCTTGTTTAATCCGTGTACCGCGCGTTGAGCACAGGAAACTGCGTTTGGTTTGCAAGAGATGGTATCGCCTTCTGTCTGGAAATTTCTTTTATTCGCTCAGGAAAAGTCTCGGAATGGCAGAAGAATGGGTTTATGTCATCAAAAGAGACCGTGAAGGAAAAATTTCATTGCACGCTTTCGACCCAATCTACCAAATATGGCAATCCCTTCCGCCTGTTCCTGCCGAATATTCCGAAGCGTTAGGATTTGGTTGCGCTGTTCTTAGTGGTTGCCACTTGTACTTGTTTGGTGGAAGAGATCCATTGAAGGGATCTATGAGGCGTGTCATTTTCTACAACGCTCGCACAAATAAATGGCACAGAGCACCAGATATGCTGCGGAAACGTCATCTTTTTGGTTCTTGTGTAATAAATAATTGTCTCTACGTTGCTGGTGGGGAATGTAAAGGAATTCAAAGAACTCTTAGATCTGCTGAAGTTTATGACCCGAACCGGAACAGGTGGAGCTTTATCTCTGAAATGACCACAGCTATGGTTCCTTTTATCGGTGTTATTCATAACGGCACGTGGTTTTTGAAGGGTCTCGGGTCTAATCGCAATGTCATATGTGAATCCTATTCACATGAAACCGATACATGGACTCCAATAAGTAATGGAATGGTCAACGGATGGCGTAATCCGAGTATCTCACTGAATGGACAACTCTATGCACTTGATTGCCAGGACGGCTGCAAGCTCAAAGTATACGATGGGGCGACCGATTCCTGGAAGAAGTTCATCGATAGCAGGCTTCATTTAGGTAGTTCTCGTGCTCTTGATGCTGCTGCTCTTGTCTCACTTAATGGAAAGCTATGCATTATCCGCAACAATATGAGCATTAGTCTAGTCGATGTTTCAAGTCCGAACAAACGCGTCGAAAGCAATCCTCACCTTTGGGAAAATATTGCTGGAAAAGGTCCTGTTAGGTCTTTAGTTAGAAATATATGGTCGACTATCGCAGGACGCAGTGGTTTGAAGAGTCACATTGTTCACTGTCAAGTTCTTCAAGCCTGAGATATCGACAAGTTCTCTGATAATATCGGGCTACACAGTTAAGGAAATGAATGGTTTTCAGATAATGTTTTGTAAAGATGAGGATTTTCGGAATAGAATCAAGGACACTACTTCGGAGTCATGAATAGGGAGCATTATAATGTAAATGTTGTTTCACTCCAAGTCTCCGAGGCTCTTTTAGTTACAATATATATTTAGGTTTTTAAGCCATGGATTGTTGTTGTATATGATTTATTCGAAAACAAGAATCATAGTTTATTTCTGTTAGTAGGAAGAAGCTGTTCCAGTTTGAAGACTATATATGTGAACTTTGAATTACTGAAATTTTTTCCTTGAACTTTGAACAGTATATCATTTCATTACCTTAACAAGTTGAAATGTTTTGAATTGGCTGATATAAGTGATTATTGCGAGTATCTTGCCAACAGAAGAGCTATGGCTATTGGTGGAAATGTGAAATAAGCCAAAAAAAAAAGTAGTTTTTTAATTTTATTTTCATGAGAATGAATTCAGAGCTTTTTCGGTGTTATAACATGGAATCATTAGATTCTTCCATCTTTACTTTCCTCAGGCCAATGATAGATTTTTGGAGTCAACGCAAGTAACTCAATCAACATCAGTAAAGACAAGAAACTGCAGTGAGGAATCTATGGGAAATAATGAACCTTTGCCCGAGCAATTTTTGAGGTATTGCTTGATGATGGATAACAGAAGGTTTATTGAGAAACGGCTCAGTTATTGTGTGATATATTATACGGTCTCGTTGTGATAAGGTATATTAGTCTTCCTATAAGCCTTTATAGGCAAGAGTGTCCTCAAAAGGAGCACAACATTCTTGCTGCAGTTTTAATGAAGAAATAGATGGTCTAGAAATAGATTTATAGCCCAAAAAACTTATGTCAGAAATGAGGTCCATGCGATTTTAATGAAGAAATAGATGTATAAAAATAGATTTAGAGGTCCATGCATTCCACAGGCTTAGGCACCATACAAAAATATATAAATGTCTTTAGTTTTTGGAGATACATCTCCTGACGCATCTAACAGTCAGTTAATGTTAAATATTTCGGAGATACATCTCTGAATATTTTGAAGGTTAAATCGCGTCAGACTTTTTCCCTTTCTTATTTCTCACTTTCTTCAAAATCATTCTTCAAACTCTCTCAAAATTTTCTCTACACCAATTCAAAACTCAAGGCTTAACGGAACTTCAATCATCATCTCTAACATCAGAAATAACATCTGTAACATCAATCTTTTTGTAAGATTTTTGATTTTTTTGATAAATTTGAGTTTTTATGTAAATGAGTAGAAACCAATGATTAGAGTTATGTAAATGAGTAGATGTTTGTTGACTAAAAATGATGATCAAGACAAGTTTTTTTGAGATTGCATGGGGTACAATGACACTATTGACGCAACCTCTGAGTTGCAGGAAATTTCAGAGATGCATCTCAACGTTTTAGTTTTACATATTCCAGAGATGCATCTCTGGAATTTTCTACAATAATTTTTTTTGTTTGCGTGTTGTTTGCCTGCACTAATCGTTTACATTACTTTAACTTACAAACATAATGAATGATAGACAAGATAGACCGAGGCACGTCAGGGTTGCTCAGCACACATCAGTGGCGAGAAATTAGTCAGCAAGTTCTAGAGGCTCCTGGTCCCTCTGGTCAGGTGAAGCCATCTACTTATGAAACTCGTGCTTCTTTTCATGCCACTTCTTCTTCTTCTTCTTCTTCCCGTAGGAGATGAGATTCACCATCTGATGCATCACTCCCTCCATCCTCTCAAACGTATCAAGTTTCACCAGTGCCACCTCCTACTGTAGATGCTTCTGATCTAGTCCCACTTCCTACTGCTGATGTTGTTGATCAAGTGCCACTTCCAGAGGGTGAGACTGCTGCAGATGATGAGGCAGAGATATTTGGAGGAGACCCGATTGATTTTTTATTACTGCCTCAATATCCAGACCATACTGTCAGACATATCTGGGACGGAGAGGTAGCATTAGTTGGATTCATTTTTTTAATGTTAATTTTAATTGACATTAATTTTTTCAGGAGCGTGATCCGCAGAAGTTTCTTTACCACGAGAGGAAGATTTTTGCTTTGCCTCATCCGAATGAGGATTGATTTCAGTCAGTTTTATCCTTATCTGGCTTGAAGAACTTGTGCATGACCAGTTAAACTACGGTCAACCACGAGATGCTTAATGCATTCGTGGAGAGATGACACTCGAAGACCTCGTTGTTTCATATCCCACATGGTGAGATGTCTATCACACTCGACGATATCTCGTGTTTTCTACATCTTTCAATGAGGGAGAAATTCTTAGATCATGGGAGGATGACCAAAGACAAGGCACTCGAGATTATGGTAGAGTATCTGGGGGCTGATCCAGGGGAGGCGGTGGAGGAGTTGGATAAGACCAGAGATGCTCATGCTAGATTTGAATACCCGGAGAAGGTATATGAGGCTAAGATCCTGAGTGCACAACAGGCTGATGTTGATGATGAGTATGTGGCGCTCCATATATCACATGCATCGAGAGCATACATGCTTTATTTGGTTAGCACTGTGATTTTTATGGACACGAGTTTTACTTATATAGACGTCGTCTACCTACGATACTTTGTGTATTTCGAGCGGATCCGTGAGTACAACTGAGGGGCGACTTATTTGGTCTATCTGCATTCGAAGTTGAGAGGGGGGTGTATATGGAAGACGAAGCAGGCCACAGGTAGCGTAACACTACCGACGGTAATAATTCTTAGTCTTTGAATGTTTTTTTGTCATTTTCATTTCAACTTTGCAAAGTCATCACTAATGATTCATGCGTTCCAAACTTTTCATTTTAGGCTTGGATCCTCCAACACTTCCTGCGCATCTTCGGTTGGGCGAGTGTATTGACCTACACCGAGAATATGTCGTCTGATACTGCTTTTATCCTGCTCAGAGGGAAACAGGCGACCAAGTCTTACAGAGTCTACCTTGGCTGTTTGGTTGCTAAGGACATGCACTTCAACAACTATGTTGATCATTGTGAGACGCGACCATTTGAGGAGATAATGTTATACTCTGGATATTTGGCCTACGGATCGCGTCTCACTGCTCCTCATTTTTCTGAGCGCATCATACAACAGTTTGGCTACATTCAGACCATTTCCAGGCACCCTGTTGTCTCTGCTCCTACTACCTTGGCACATAGACATATAAATGACATATTTTATGATTATGAGAGTCATCTGGTACCGGAGGAGATACGAGCTACCATAGTTGAGAGCGACTAGATCTACGTCAAAAGGTATATCAGATGGTTCTTCAGGGTGTCACATTTGTACATGATACATGTTGCTCTAGGAGATCCGCTGAGACCAACTCATCAGGAGATACTATCCGAGGAATAGACACAACTAGACCATGTTAAGGATGTCTTGCCTAGGTGTCTTCGCATAGTGGAGATTCGTAGGTAGGCATTGAAAGAGGTATCTTCCCTGATAGGTCTGATGTAAGGCAGGTTGTAAATGCCATCATGACAGAGGCACATGAAGTATTGTTGTACCTGAGACAGCGCCGGAGGACAGGGAGGATTGATGGACGAGGAGGTAGAGGAGAGGTAATCAGACACACACATTAATGTCTTAATATATATTAGTAGTATTATGGTCTATATTTTATTTTGATGGTCTTGCTACTATATTGATTTCGATTGTATGACATTTTTCGACGTTTATTGGTATTTTATTTATGTATGGCATTTTTAGACCATCTGGAAATATTTACGTAGATTTTTTATTTTCGATTGTATGATATAGTTTAAATCTTCATGTAAACACAGATAAACAAAATGTAACTTGAAAGAATAAGTTCTGATGCGTTACAGAGTTGTATCTCCGGAATATTCACGGAGACACATCTTCAATTCTATTCAAGTGTATGATGGCTTTTGAGTGGGATGTATTGAATGTTTTAAATTGTTACGGAGATGCATCTCTGGAATATTTCAACGTTTGTTCAAAATTTGGTGTGTTCGGAGATGTATCGCTGGAAACTATGAGCATTTAAATAATTTTGCGTGGTGGCTAAGAAGTATAAAGGGTGCATTAAGAAATTCTCTAGATTTATAGCCCATAAATCCTATGTTTGAAATGAGGTCCGTGCAATATTTTCATGTTTAGAATGAGCAACCTCAACACAAGGAAGTATTTGAGTTGACCTAATTTCTTAATGTAACTTTTGTAATTTTGGGACTGACAACGATTTTGATAAAACAAGTATCATAGCAGAATGTTGAGTAAGATGTCTTGACATGTTGGTCAGATATCCCTGATGGTCAGCATGATGTCTGTTGCACCCTAATTTTTGACCACGAGATACCACCTCCTTTTCCGTTTTTTGTTTATTTATTATTGTTATCGGACTTTATTTAATATTTATGTGACTAACCATTTTTTGTGCAGACGCAATAATATCAGGTGGAGACAGTGTTCGTTCTCACGATCGATCATCCACACATTACTAATTATCTTAGCCGCTTCGTTTAAATTGCTTTGTGAGGTTAGGTACCCATTTGTGAATGCAAAGAACAAGCTCAAAGTTCCTACATCGGTTTGAGGGAGAATCTCAGACCTATGCATCACGCAAAAGGTTTGAATTGCAAAAGAAGTTTTAAAGATTTGTGGTGATTGTTATTCAAGGAGGTTCAAGAATTTTAAAGATGGTAAATAGTTCAAGCTCAAGGGACATTGGTCCACGTATTGCAAATGTTCAAGGATGCCAAATTACCATTTCAAGGCCAATCAAAGTTCCAAGTATATCTTGTTTAAAGTTGGGGTGGCAAGCTCATACCAAAAGAATTTATATAGCAAAGTTCAAATTCATAATTCTTCACGAATGAGAATTTGAAAGATCATAGTAGCTAATATTTCCTTCACTTTTGAAAGTACTCAAGTTCAGAAAATAGATTCCTGCATCCAAGAGTTTTCACGACATAAA